CGCGTGGGCTACATAGTGAGACCATGTCTCAATTCATCAATAAACCAGTCCCTTGGGAGGATTGAAGGTTTGAATTTATATTTCTACAGAAAAAGTGCTGAACATACAGTAGCATTTTAGTGTTTTCACTTTTACATTCTCACTTACCCTTAAGTGAAATCAGCCTTGTGAAATAGTTTTGTTGTAATTGTTGTTAATTTAACAGATGGAAAAACTGAATTGTAAGGGCTGAAATTCAAGATAGTGAATTGACCACTGAGTCCAGATCTTCTAACTTCAGTGTTTTGCCCTTTCTCAGATCTCTAGGGTTGAAGCCACAGTGCTTACTTTAGTATATTAGTAGATGACAATTGTTAAAAAAAAATATATTGATGCTTCAGCAGTTTCATTGTATCAAAAACATGGAGGAAACTGATTGTGCATTGTAGAAACTATTGTAGGTATGTCTTGGTTTAGACCAACTGAAACAGTTTTACTCTGTTAACATAGCATGCTTATAAATTGAATTCTGAAGATAGGTTTGGCAAAATTGCCGAAAAAAATAGTACTCTGGTCTTCAAAAACATAAACTTTTGGAACATTAAAGAATCCACTTTTATAAGCATCTAAGGGGCACACAGCAGGGGATATAATTTATATATCTCAACTGTGGTATAGTGAGGCTATTTATAACAAGGGTTCAGCCTTGAACAAATATATATAATTTTTGAATCTAAAGCTGTTTAATATAATTAATACAATATACTTTGGTATAGTTTAATTGAGCTATTAAATATTTATTACCTACTGAAGTTAGATCCCAGTATTTTCATACATAAAGAGAACTGGGTTAGTTAGGAAATAACTCCCCACCCACTTTTCATCTCATGTCTAATTGGCTAAGAATATTTTGAGCCAATTGAGCTTATTTAGACTTTACAGTCTCTTCTCAAGTTGCTGGAAGGAGTATGCTGCTGAATTTGCTCTTCTGAACTGTGAAAGGGAAAGTTGCATAATAGATAGTAGCAAAGGATTTAAAAGTAGGGTTTTGTTTGTTTGTATTTCTGGAAATTGAACCAGGGCCTCACATACACTAGGCAAGCATTCTACTGCTGAGTTTTATTGTTGTTGTTGTTGTTGTTTTCTTTTCTTTTCTTTTCTTTTTTAATCTGCAACCCTACAGAGTACATTTTGGCTTGAGTTTAACAATTTTATCTTAGAACCCAAAATATCCCCTTATAATACTGAAGTTTGATTTTTTTTGGCTTAAATTCTGTGACTTGGGAAATATAGCTATATTGTTTTATAGTCTTACTCCATGTTGATAATGCTGGCATTTTATTTTCCTCCTGTGGTTAAAGTTAAAAAGAAGCAGTTGTAAGAAAGGGCAGACATTATATATTACTTTAATTTAATCCTTGCCTTTCCTTGAAGTTCTCAAGTTACTTGTCAAAGATAGGGTCTACCTTGTGCCAAAAGTATAAACTTTAATTTTCCTTTCAGTGCTCTGCGGTGGTACCAAATTATCTTGTTCAATTGGTATTAATATTGCCTAATTGCTTTTCTCTGTCTTTCTCAAGTTCTCAAAGAAATATTAGGAAATTAGCATGTCAAGCTTCAGGAAACTTAGCTCCCATGAGCCTTTCTATAGGAAGAAATTCAGCCAACCAAGAAATGAAAGCAGAAACTACAGCTAAAAAATTGGCAGTAAACATGGGATATATAGAATTAAGACTAAAACAATGTGGAAATTAATTTTACAGAGCAGAATGTTCATCTTTAAAACCTTGACATTAAAATGATACAATTAATAAAAATCAGGAGGCTGAAAGGCAGAAATTATATAAAGTCATGTTTTATATCCAACTGTCAAAAGTCATGTAAAACAAATCCAGTAAAAGCTTGATTGTTTGGGGTAGAAACAGGTAGGGAGGTAAATGGGTGATACATACATGAAGTGAAAGGTAAACTCTTAAGAGAAATAATGAAATAAACTAAACTGGGTGATAGAGGAGAAAGAAAAAAGCAAAACTTCATCATTGCATGTAATAAAGATATTTTTATGCTTTAGTGGAAGCATATTTTATACAAAGTTAAACAGTAGTTATAAAAATTTACTTACTCAACACCTATTTGATGAGGACTTGTTACTTGGCAAACAGTGTCAGTGACCAAACAAACAAAAATTCTTGCTGCTTGATTCAAGAGAGACAAACAATAAACATAGTGATAAGTAAATAATTTGTTAAGAGGTATACATCTACAAGGGCTAACATACAGCCTGAAGGGGATCAGGAGTACCAAATGATGGCATTGCCGTTTTAAGTTGGGTGGTCAGAGTAGGCCTCACTCAGAAAATGAAGTTTGAATGAACATTTGAAGAAAGTGAAAGAGCCAAATACTTATCTGGATAAAAAGTATTCTAAGTAGAGATAATAGCTACTGCACAGTTCCTAAGGCAAAAATATAGCTGTTCAACAGAGATAAGTTGAAGGCTTAAAATACAGTGTTGAAGAGGAAGCATGGTAGGAAATGAAGTCAGAGAGATAATGGAGTATCAGATAATACTGGACCTTAAAGCCCACTAAAAGAACTTTGACTCTGAAATAGCTACTGGAACAAACAAGCAGTCCTTCCATATCATTTGAAGAAATTCATATATATCTAAAACACAAGCACACACCTTTACTAAACTAATTTTAAGAGAAAGGTAGCAATAAAAGCAAAAAATAATGTAAAATTTATAACAAACTAGACATGTAAATAAGTAAATGTTATAATTTGCATGTTATAAATATGTAAATAAGTAAATGAATGTTAAACAGGCTAAATTTCCTATTAAAAGATGCCCAGAATAGATCACAAAACTATTTAGAATCATTCCTAAAACAAAGAAACTCAGAAAGTATAATAAATAAGGTTTAGATGCAGAGACACAACTGGTATATGCAAACTTAAAAAATGCACGGGTGGTGATCTTTATATTAAACAAGACAATACAGAAAGCATTATATGAAGAGTATATGTAAGATCTGTGGGAAGAAAAATTTTTAAATGCTTCTCAAGGATACAAATGAAGACTTAAATGGCAGTGCTTACAAGAGTCATGGCTAAAAAGACTCAAAATTATATATTCTTTCCCCCTATATTAATGTATGTATTTAACACGATCTCAACATAAAACACTTGCTAATATTTGTAGAGCATGTAATGCCAGGTACTGTTCTAAATGCTTTTATATGTATTTCTCAGGTAGTCTTTGCACTGACTTTGTGTGGTAGGTGTTAGTATTACTCTGTTCATTTTTCAAAGCAAGACACAAAGAGGCTGATGAACTTGCCCGAGATTCTAGTTAGAGTAAGTTACTGGACTACAGTCTGAACTTCAGCAGCATGATTTCAGATTTTTGTGCTTTCAACTTACTCATCATACTGTTCTTGAAACTACTAGGATTTTGTGTGCATGTGTATACAGCTAGATAAACTGACTCTAAATTCATATGGAGAAACAAGCATAACTAGTCAGGAAAATTCTTAAAGAAATCTAATAAAGGAAAACTTATAAGATATTTAAATATATTACAAAACTAGAACATTGACGCAATGTAGTTAGTAGGGCATGAGCAGATAGATCATTGGCCAGAATATAAGTTCAGAAATAGTTCCAAATTCATATAGATATTTGGAAAATTATCAAAGTAGTATTTCAAATGAGTAAGGAAAAAATGATTCACTTCATGGGACAGCTGTGTTGTCATTACAGGGAAATTAGTTGGAGTTCTACTTTTCAATTTTTGACTAACATTAATTCCTAATGAATAAAAGATTTAAACCTGAAAAACCAAAGTACGTATGAACCAAGTCATGAGAAAGTTTAAATGATTTATTTACATTTTAAAAATTCAGTCTCACGTTTCTTCCTACTCTCTTCATTTGGAAGGATGTGGGGATCAATGATATTCACATAAAGATAGAAACCTGCCAGATGCCATAGCATGTTAAGGTGTGTGTTGTCTTAGAGTCCCAAGTGGTTTGTTTTGGACTGATGTAGTAGAAGATGATAACATGCTCTAAGGCTTCCACTTTGGTTTTCAGTCAGTTAATGCTTTCTTTTCTTTGATACTCTTTGGGGCTGGGAAAGTAAAAGGGATAAATTAAGTATTTGGCAAGTCAGAAATGTATGTACTATTCTTTTTGAAACCTAGTTTAGTTATGAGGACCTAAATTCCAGATCCATAACCACAGCAGCACTACTCTAAGGAAGTAGTAAAGGTAGACTTGGATGAGTCATGTCCTTCTAACTCTCCAAAGAAAGTGATAGTTGAAGACTCAAGGACTGAGGTTGCCAGTTCAAGTTTTAAAAAACAGAGTGAACAGAAAGACCCATGGCTACCCAGGTAATGGTAAATTCATGACACTGCTGCCTCGTAGTTGTCTTGTACCTGGTTAAAGATAGGAAAAAAAAAAATACAGATCTAAGGAATAGTAAGAAGGAAGAAAATTTAGTTTAGACTCAATAGCACTTAAAACCAATATTGTTTTTACAAATTGTTAAAAAAAAAGATTTGGTAGGCATAATTCTAATTTTGTTTAATGTAGATTTTGTACTTCTCTTATTTGTTTGGTTGGTTTGGGGCAGTGTTTTGTTTGTTTGTTGTGGATTTTTTGAGACAGTGTCTTGCTGTAAGGTTCAGGTTGGCCTTGACCTCACTTATATAACCCAGGTTGGCCTTGAACTCACAGCGATTATAGGCATGTGCCACCACGCTGGGCTTTTACTTCTGAATGTGAATGCATATGTGTTTGTAAATAATCTTGAAAACACACCACAGAATTCACCATTAACATCTCAGATGATAGAAGTTTAAAAATCTTTGTTTTACCAGTATTTTTAAACATTTCTGCAAAGAATATCTTGTTTTGCTTATGTACTCAAAAGCTATTTTTCTTTTTCTGCGCACATTTATGGATATAACATTTGTTGTTCTGTCCTGACAGTGGATGTGACTTTTGTTTTTATAGGTGCACCAGAGGCTCTCTTCCTGGCAGAATTTGAGAGTTGTTTATTGCAGTACTGTTGTGCCCTCTGATGGTGAGTTGTGGCAAACCCTTTTTTTTTTTTTTAATCTTAATTTTCCTCCTTTGCTCCATGTTTCTCATACTGTGGTAGACATATAAATTTATAAGCTATACTCTTTCACTTAAGGTGAGTTTGGTGTCAGAAAGAGAAGGGTTAAAGAAGACAAATAAAATGAGTGAAGAACTAGTGGATTTAGAGGGAAAATAAAAAAGAAATGGGCCCCAGACTTCATAGATCACAAAATATTCATTTACGTTTTAAAACTGGAGACACAGTTAATGTGACAGTCACAGAAGTACCACCTTCTGCATTTCCTAAATACTGGGTTATCATGTGATTATTATCGATCAAACACTCTTGCCCCTTTGTGGTATCAGCCTGCACTGAAGCAAGTCATTGTCTGAGACCCTCTGCTTTGCTTGTCTTACTCTTACCTTAGGCTCAAGGCTGTAATTCTCTTTTATGTGGGAAGAAATGAACAGATGCTTGGGGAACACATACAATCCTTTGTGACTGTCTTCAGTGTTGCAAACTGGCAATCAGATCTAAGCTTCAGTCGTGTTTCTGTGGGGTGGAGGTGCTTACAACTTTTACTGCCATTTCTCTTACCCAGCATTTTACATTTTAAGTCCCTTAATTTAAATTGACTGCTAAATGTTTCTTCTACGTAAAGTTTAGTTTGATAAAGCTTGACTCTCACCTTGATAAACATTAATTTATAGACACAGCAGCCATTGAGTGTTCTACAAATTCACAAGGACACCTAAAACTGAATAAGACTAGAATATGAACTATAAAAATCCTAGAATCCTCTGTATAGATTTTATAGTTATCAGGATACAGTTTCCAAAAGTCTTTAGTTATCTAATTATAACTGTCTAATGTATAGATAGTTTAGTCATATTTGTGGAATCCTCAAAACATGAAGTATCATTTTGTGGTTACTCATTTGTGGTATGAAGCCAGGGGTTTAGCTCAGTGATTCTGCTGCCTGCCTTGCAAGCGCAAGGACCGGAGTTCGATCCCTGGTACCCCCCAAAAAATAAAAATTAAAAATAAAATGTACAAGTGTAGTATGGAAAGATCGAAAGAGGAAACAGGCCAGAATCAAAACAAGGAAAATAACAGCTGGCTTTCTTTCTCTTGTTTCTTGAAGACATAAAATACTGATACCTTACCAATTAACACATGTTAAAAAGCAGCAATCCAGCCAGGTGTGGTGGCGCACACCTGTAATCCCAGCACTAGGGAGGCTGAGGCAGGAGGATTGCTGCAAGTTTGAGATCAGTCTGGGCTACATAGTGAGTTCCAGGTCAGTCTCAACTATATAGTGAGAGCCTGTCTCAAAAAAAACAAAAACAAAAACAAATGAATTTTAAAAAAAGCAGCAATCTACTTTATTGCAGCCGGAGAGCAGATTGTCCCCAACCAAGACTTAGTGTGTACTTGGAATACCAGACTTTCTCACATGGCCAAGATCCAGAGAACAATGATGCCACCTACTTTCTCCTTAAGGCCCCCAAAGGCAATGGGTGGGATTTCTTTCTCCCCATGCTATCTTGGTATAATATGTGGAGCCATGTGGATGCTGTCAACATCTCTGCCTACACCACTCCCATGTCTGATTAACTTCATCCATTCCTAATGCAGGGTAATATCCTTAGATAGTTACAATAAACAGAATGTCTCAATGGAAAAAGTAATTATCATAGTGCTAAATCCTCTCAGCATCTGATGAACTAACAGAATTTCATTCAGAAGTTCCTAGCCTTTGTAATGTTTGAAATTATTATATATTCAATGACAGCACGTATCAGTAGTGTATATACTCAGTAGTTATGTATATATGTAATATGAACCAAGTCACATTAAAACAGGAGACTCAAGTACCAATAGTTTTGCTATTCTGTGTTGATTAATTTTAACTAATGAGTTAACATTGTTATTTATGTAAATTTTGCCACATAATTGCAATTACTCTGATTCCATATACCAGTCTATATAGATGCATTTCAGTAATTTCATGATGATACAGTTGTGACTGAATGTTATCCCAGCACATAAATGCTAATAGTTTGTCTCTACGCTGCATGAAGAGTTGAAAGCAATATTTTTACAAAAGCTAAAAGTATAAAAACTTTAAAAAAAAAGGTTTCTCCCTATTCCCTACTAATATTTGCCCTTCTTAAGCAAACAAATTCATATTAGTCATCCAGAAATAGAAGAACAAAATTATTTTATGTCATGTAGATCAAATGTCTCCAAATTATATATATCTTCCTTAGTCTGTACTTCTAAATTAGTTTTACCTAGATCACTATAGCATAGGAAAGTCTGCCAATATATAGTTACTCCAACAAAATTCAACCGCCATTAGCAGACATTTCTACCATCATTCTCTGTTCTGTTCTTTGCCATTACTGCTGGGTCATATGATGGCATGAGCCTCATTTTTAAATGCTACATTATATAAATGCTTCTTAATTATTTTATTTGACCACTCTTCTAGTTATGACTATAATAGCTAATTAAAATATGTAGATAATCCCCCTACCAAAGTGATCTAACAGGTTCTCAATTTTTTTTGTCATAATTTTTTTTTTTTTTTGGTACCAGGATTAAACTTGGGTCCTTGCACTTGCAAGGCAGGCCACCGAACCGCTGCGCTAAATCCCCAGCCCCTGTCATAAATATTTTTAAGAATCACCTGAAACTTTAGGCTATTTCTCTAGAAATATTTATATGTCCATATAGGAAATTTTATATACAATTTCATAATGAAACAGATTCCCTCAAATCAAATCATGGAATCCCTAGTGCTATGGACCCTACTTTGGAGTCTTAGAACATGGATGCAAATGCATACACCCCTGTCCGTGTCTCCTTTCAGGAGGTTATGAGCACAAACTTAGAGGTTACATGTACAAGTTGAGCTTCATCCCATTTCCACGGTGTAACCACTTTATAGTTATAAGGAAGCAATTTATCAAAACCTGTTGGGCCCAGGATCTAGTTTAGTGGCACTGGGCCTGCCTTGCAAGCACAAGGTCCTCAGTTTGATCTCCAGTAACACCAAAACAACAGCAACGACAAGAAAAACTGTTTCCTCATTCATAAAATGTAAATAAAGGTACCATTTTTAAGAGAAAAATGTCCTCACCCTATAGAAATTGTGCTTAGTTTATGTGGAGTGATTGTGGTGGTATTAAAGAGCTCTAATCTAAAACACATGGTTTTCAGTTTCTCATTTTAACATCTCTGTACTCTAGATCCTCAAGTGTAAATGATTCACAGTGAAATCTTTAAGTTGTTTGCTTTATACCTACTTCTTAAAGTCTTTGGGGGTTCTTATATAAAAATATCCATATTACCAAAAGCAATCTAGGGATGTAATGCAATCCCTATTAAAATATTAACATTCTTCACAACATTAGAAAAACCAATCCTAAGATTCATCTGCAATCAGGAAAAAACAAAACAAAACAGAATATCCAAAGCAATCCTGAGCAAAAAGAGCAAAGCTAGAGGTATCACAATACCTGATTTCAAGGTATACTATGAAGCTATAGTAACAAAAACAACATGCTACTAACACAAAAACAAAAATGTAGACTGATAGGATAGAATAGAAAGTACACAAATAACCCCTTCCACCTACAGCCATCTGATTTTTGACAAAGAGGCCAAATTAAATGTTAGAGAAAAGGTAGCCACTTTAACAAATGGAGCTGGGAAAACTGCATGTCCACATGCAGAAGATTGAAACTTGATTCCCATCTCTCACCCTGTACTAAAATCAAATACAAATGGATCAGAGTCTAGATATAAGAACAGAAACTTTGAAACTACAATACCTTAACACAGGGAAGACACTTGAAGCCATAAGTACAGAAAAGACTTTCTGAATGATTCAACAAATGGAGTTACATCAAATTAAAAAGCTTGGGAGCTAGGGATTTAGCTCAGTAGTGCTGCTGCCTGCCTCCCAAGCACAAAGTCCAAAGTCCTGAGTTCAATCCCTGGCACACCACCCCCCCCAAAATTAAAAAGCTTCTTCTCAGGAAAGGAAATTTTCAATAGAGTGAAAAGACAACCTACAGAATGAGAAAATTTTTGCTAGCTATTCATCTGATAGCAGACTAACAACTAGAATATATAATGAAGTAAAAAAAAGATTAAACCCCCAAAACAAATGACCTAATCAAAAATTGGGCAAATGAACTGAATTGACTCTTCTCATTAGAAGAAATGCTAATGGCCAATGTTCAATATCTGTAGACATTAGGGAAATATAAATTAGCATCTGATTGTTTTACCCTTTTCAGAGTTATCACACACACATGTGCACGCACACACACACACACACACACACATACAGTAAATGCTAGTAAGGATGTGGATGGGAATGTAAACTAGTACAACTGCTCTAGAAATCAATATGAAGATTCCTCAAAAAACTAAAAATAGAAATTCCATTTGATCAAGCTATTCCTCTCCTGGCTATATTCCCAAAAGAATTGAGGACGTCATACTATAGTGATACATGCTTACCTATGTTTAGAGCAGTGAACTTCATGATAGCTAAGCTCTGGAAACAGCTTAAATGCCTGTCAACAGATGAATGAATTAAGAAGATGTGAGATATATAGATATATATCTATATATATATATTCAGCCATAATGAATAGTGAACCTATGTCATTTACAGGAAAATAGGTGGAACTTGATATCCTTATGCTAAGTGAAATAAGACATAGAAAACTAAATAGCACATGATTTATCTTATATGGGAAGCCGAATTTGTAAATAAAATAAAACAAAGGAAAGATGATAGGAAACTAGAAAGCAGACTTCTGGACATGGGGACTGGGGGTTGGGGGGAGCAGGTAGCTGAGGGGATGCATAGGAAAAGGGCTTGTAGATGGCAAGGATATATTTTATATATATATACCAACTCCTCAAAACAAGCATCACTATCCTATATTGCAAACATACACTGATAAAAAAGTCAG